AGGAAAAAATTGCACTCGAAATTCCGCGAATGTGAAAATTTAAAAGCTTTAATAAGCATGAAGATATTATAAGTTTAAAATTATTGCAAGTACCAGATTCATATAAAGTATATAGCAATATCTGGAAAATTCTGAAATGAGGAAGGAGAATAATATTATCAAATATTGATAAGAAGCAGTAGATAATCGACCAAAATTATATCACGTTATTTCACTTTATTTGACAGTGCACTTCGTTTTATTTTCGACGTATAGTTATCAAGCAGACATCACTTAACACCAATTCATCACATAATCTCCTGTAAACGCCAGTGCTTCGCGAATAGTCATCTTATCAATTGTAAAATGACCGTTCGCGATACACTCGCGTTTACAAGAGACTACGCGATGAGTTGGCATTCAATAATTTTATTTTAATATAATGCTCAGTTTTTAATGTTTTCCTTGATTCGGAAGTATGCAATAAGACGCCGGAACATTACGATTCCAGAAATCTTATCTGCTATATCAAGAACGACTAACGTTCTTATCGTAGTCTGAAGCAAGGCTAATTAAATTAACACCATACGTCAGGTAAGTAAAGTTTATATTTCACACAAACTTGATTAGTACACTATATGCACTGAATGCTTTTCAAGTCCGACGCGAAGCTCTACACCTTCAAATACATGTCAGCTTTAATCTTAGCGCATATCCGGTAATGGATGAATATTATATGTATTACGTTTTTACGCTTTAATGTCATATTTATATCGAGTTTTATTAAAAGCTCGTTATAACAGCTTATGTATGTTAAAAGCCTGTCACGTGATTCCGGCAAACTTACAAGTTCTGTAACTAGGTAACTTGCGACACTGAATCACATCAAAATATGCAGGTAAAGGCCAAAGGTCTTTAACTATTAAAAGTGAAAAATACAAAATTATACTTTGACGCATTTAGTAATAATAATTATCACATATCAACATATATTACTTAACTTGTATATTTAACATAAATACATATT